AAATATTGAAACAATGGTCTCCCTAATATGTATTTATAAATAATGAATGAGAGTTCTTATTCATTCTACTTATCAAATTAACATTTTGGTCAATAAAAGAGAAAGTAATTACACTTTCGACTAATCGTTTTAGGTAAGCTGGTAAAAATTAAGCTGAAATCATTCTAGCTGAACTCTAATTAAGAATCTAAGTAGGTACCTATAGCAAATACAAAATGTTTAGTGTCAGAAATAATCCTTGCGCTAGACTCGCCACGCTGACTCACGCCGAAGGCGAACGATCGGCGCCAAGCGGTTACGCGGAGATAATTGTTTGCCATTTTTATTATTATCTGCTTATAATTTGTCATATAAACCTGGGAATTAATGTGATTTATTAATAGACGCTTAATTATAATGAGTTCTTTGCTCGCTTCGCACTAGCATTAACATGAGTTAAGCGACAGGTGACAGATGTCGTAATTTGAATATCTTTGATATTTCATGATAAAAAAAAATTCTTGTGAAAATAAAATTATATTAGATTGTGTTCATATTATGTACAAACTTTTATTACTGGCCGTGCGTGGAGACTACATAACCTCACGATGATTATGTTGTACCTACTAAACTACAAAGTAGCACTATTCCAAACTAGACAGTCATTAAGTAAGTTGTGTAAATAAACCTTAAGAAATTCCTTAAATAAATAAACACATTTATTCCGTGTCAAGAAGCCTAGACACATACGTAAAATTCTTACTATCTTAACCATCCATTCCTGTTCTATTTGCCTTAGCGGCAGCACCCGCCGGCGAGGAATCCGCGGCGGCAGACGCTAATTACTATTTAATCTAGCCTGGCGCGACTCCCTAATACGCCGAGACCTGCTCAGGTTAACGCGGTTTTTAAAAATAGCAACACCTTCGCAGCTTCGCGAACTGAGGGAGGAGGGAAAGTTGTAGAGATGCTCATTTGTTTATCGATATCGAGGTCTCATTCCTGTTCTATTTTGCCTTACGGCGACAGCACCCGCCGGCGAGGAATCCGCGGCGGCAGACGCTAATTACTATTTAATCTAGCCTGGCGCGACTCCCTAATGGGCCGAGACCTGTGCTCAGGTTAACGCGGTTTTTAAAAATAGCAACGTCTTCGCGAACTGAGGAGGGAAAGCTTAGCTGTAGAGATGCTCATTTGTTTATCGATATCAAGGTCCCGTTCCTGTTCTATTTCCCTTACCGGCGACAGCACTTTCCGGTGAGGAATTCGCAGCGTCAGACGCTAATTACTATTTAATCTAGCCTGGCGCGACTTCCTAATGGGCGGAGACCTGCGCTCAGGTTAACGCGGGTTATAAAAATAGCAACACCTTCGCAAACTGAGGGACACTGAGGAGGGAGGAGGGAAAGTTGTAGAGATGCTCATTTGTTTTATCGATATCGATGTGTGTTGTAGATGCATCCTTCCTTTTATTTATTGATGGATTTTTACAAAATCTTATTGCCATAATGATGCTGATTTAATTCTATCATTATCTAAAGCAGTGCTAGTTAGATTAATATTAGCCGATGCTTGCCTAACGCCGCATGACTGACGATATAATGTTGGTAATTTATCGACTTCTCTTGCACATACTCGTTGAGCAGATAACTTGCTATGTAATCCTCAGAAGGCGCCGCTACGCCAACGCCCCTAATGCGATTCATTTGCAGGGCGACAGCCTCTTAAAATGAAAGCTTAACCATTTTCCCGTTACTAAGATAAATTCTATCTTATATGAAAGTACCTACATTATTATACTATGTCCCTACTAAAAGCTAAACTATACTAATGTTATAAATGCGAAAGTAACTCTGTCTGTCTGTCTGTCTTGATTTCACGCCTAAATCAATGAATCGATTTTGATGAAATTTGGCATAGAGAAATGAGTCGTTTGGTAGTTATTTATTAAATTTTTATTTAGGTTTTTGAAATAGGGACGCGCGCGATAAAGTTTTCAAACTTTCCGCGGGAAAAAGCTAGTAATTTCATAAATAGCATTTTCCTCAACAATTATCATTCAAGTTGATCTCAGTTCTATCCAGTTCAAAATAAACCAGCCAATATCTCGTAAATTAAAGGATGTGTGTTCAAGAGTCTACGCAACGCAACTAGCGTAGAGCCAAGATAATTTACTATGTAATCCTCAGACGGCGCCAGTACCCCTTAATGCGGGTAATTTGCAGGACGACAGCCTCTTTATAAATGTTGCAAACGAAAGCTCGGAATTTCCCGCTCTTCAGACGAATTGGTTGCGAAGTGAAAGCACACATGAGCTTTAATTAAGTTTTATAAATGACTTGCACCTATTTACGGGTATAACTCATTTACTGAGTGAGCGGATTGAAGATATTGAATCAGTTTTATAAATAAGCTAGTTGGTGAGAAGTAGTGTACTAGAAATACTTTTAGTTTAATCCGGTGTATTATCTAGAAAAAGTATACAAAATAGCAATCACTCAAAATGAGTCAAAATTACTCAAACACAAAAAAAGTGACATGACGTGTTGCAAAAGTCGGTAGGTATTTTAATTTTGTTCAAACAATAATTTTAATTGTGCTCTCAAAGAATTTACTGTCGTTAAATTAATTACCTTTAGCCGCATAAGTAGTCGTAAATGTGATAATCTTAAGTTGTGTAATCCGCATTTACAGAAAAAATGTCGTATGTCGTAGGTACCTACATAGTTTACGTTTTAGGAATCTTAACTGATTAACAAAGGATTTTCCTCAATCTTTTTATAACCATTGCTCTGTTTTCACGATTTTATTCGACTCAACTCTAGTGCTAGACATTGTTGTGTCTAGACATCATTTATTTTTATCTTCTGGGATTAGAGGCAAACGAGTTCGATATAATCTGCGCAGTGCATCTCTAGTTATTTGACTTCGTTCTTTTATCTTTCACACTGTATGGACTAGAGACAGTAGACCCTAGAAAAGGACCCTAAGTTACCATGTCGCATAAAATAATGGGATGAAATAGGGGAAGAAAGTTTGTATAATAAATAACAACTGATATTAGATTTTGGTTGGAGGCTCTTTAGAATAACGATAATATTAGGTACGAGGACAGTGACTCCATCGCGAAATTTTCTTGACTGATAGACCACAGAATACCACAAAAGCGTAGTTGCGGGATAAAATTTAAAATCGCTTTATAAAAAGCTTATAGCAGATGAGTTTCGTAAAATAACTTACAAAACAGAGTACCCTAACCTAGGTATTTCTTAAGAATGCTATCATTAATCCGCGTAATTCGCACACACATTGAAGGCGTTATTGGCCTTAATGATCTCACGCGCACTATCGGCGTTATTCATAATATGCGCCTGCGCGTGGGCGCTTGCTTAGTGCAAACATACCGCCGGAAATGCCTACTTATTGTCGTCGAGTGGTTAAACTTTGGAATCATTGGGTCATTTGAAAAGAAATAAGCCTATAAAAATATTTTAGTGACTATTTTTGCTATACAGGCGCCGATCACATGCCGTAATAAATATTCTCATTTTATAGTAAAGATAAACAGTAACTAATGAAGATAATGACATTATTTCGGATGTGAGGGGTAATGTATTACAAGTTTTCTTATCTAGAATCTAGATTTAGAATAGATCTCAGGTCAGTGGCCTTGCATCAACGTGCTGTGTCTGATGTACTGTTGCGATACAGACAGATGCTTCTACCATGTACCAATTGCCTAAGTAGGATTTACGAAGAACAAGCGAAACTAAAATAACAACCGTACAAGCAGTAAAGCCTCCCATAATTGTTTTACACTGTTAAGTGTTTAACTGCCGGTTAACTGATGGGCCATGTTAACGGGCAGGCCGTTCACCCATCCGACAGGTAATCAAATACTAACCATTAGTACCCAACTACCCAAGACACATCAAAGTAAACTTTGTGCACCTTAAGTGACTGGAATAAGTGAGATTTTGCATCAAAAGTGCAAGTTTAGTGACGTGTGGGTGCTTGTACATTCGCTAAATGATATCGACTCAATTTGACCCTTAGCACCTATGCCGTAGGGTAAATATTGTACCACCTATCTATGAGGTCCCGTTGCGTTGCGTATGTACTGTTTAAATCGTGCGTGCATTCAGAGATCCGCACTATTCAAATAAAAACAAATTGAAAAGTTTTCGAATGCCTTCTATCTATTCTTCTATCTTTCTCTTTATTGTATTGTCTTATAAGGTCAAGTTACTTCGTCTATATTCACTTCATGGCTTAGCCAACTTATCCCATACACCAGCTGTAGCCTGTGTAAGGTTGTTGCTTTTAAGGGTCCTCTTTACTTTCCCATACATACCCTTATAATATCTACAACTGATTCGCTACATTGAATGGGAGAAATCTGCAATCGTAGGTATCTAGGTACTTGTAAATCTCATTTAATTCTGTCCACGTTAATCTACAATTTGCCTACTGCAACAGTGCCAACAGTTCTCCACGTCATAGTTCTGTAAACCAAAATGTCAGAGCCTTTTTAAGGCGTCTTGCGCAAGCGTCAGCCGTTTTTATCGTCAAAGTGGCTCGACAATCGGTGCAATCTCGCGGAATCGTAGAGCAAGGCCGGTTCACTTTTTGCTGGCGATAATTGACGACAGCTGAAGATTGAAGAAGGACAGGTGTCTTGTAACGTTTTTTTATAATACCAACTCATGTATTCCATACTTTCTTCTTGATGAGGCGTAAAGGCAATAACTAGCTGTTCTATGAATGCTGTTGTTAACTGCATCAGGAGTTAGTAAGGGTTCGGACAAACCAACGCGATCACACCGCGATCAGCCGGCGTGCAGCGATGGCGACCAGACCTTAATGCATTGATCGCCATCGCTGCACGCCGGTTGATCGCGCTGGTTTGGCCGAACCTTAAATTCTCATCTTTTGTCTTCCACTGTAACTTCTGTAACCAGTGTGTAGATGCAACCAAATGTTGCCTAAAAATACTTATAGAATGTTCTCCTTGTCAACAGAACGGTCTGCTATCCTCGCTGCCTTACCTGGGCAAGTACCTGTGCGCGCTGGCTTCCTCCGTGCTCGCCGACCACCTACGCCGCAGCGGGCGGCTGTCCACCACTGCTGCGAGAAAACTCTTCACTGGCTTCGCTGTCGGACTGCCGGGTAAGTCTTGCTGCTAAGCTGGGTCCATACTAGTGAGCTTTGATCGCTCCGAAAGGTGTATGTACAATTCAATGTGGACGTGCCATGCTGCGATCAGAGCGCAGAGTGACTCCGGCGACTAATGTCCGTTTTCACCATCAATCCCTAATTTATATTTGTATGGCAACACATAACAGAAATTTTGTTTTCATAGGGGTCACTTAAAAATTAGGGATGGATGGTGAAAATAGGCATAAGTCAAGTTTTATCGCGAATAAGCGGAGCTTCTCTATAAAGTTTTCGGATCTCTTTCGCTTGACGGTCCACATTGTCGATAATGGACAATGGTCAACAACAATAGGTTGATCTACATTAAGGAAGCAATAAACATATTGGGCACCTATTAAAGATTTGTAAACTCATTCTGTTCGTTCTTCCCAACAGGCGTGATGATGCTAGCTCTGGTAGCTTACGGGCAGGAGCGCGTGTGGTCCATCGCCATCTTCACGGCGGCGCTTACCATTAACGGCGCTGTTACGGCTGGCTACCTCGGCAACGGGCTTGATATTGCTCCTAACTTCAGCGGTAAGTTTGACTTTCAGTCTGGACATGCCTTTTTTTTCGGGAAAAATATGCAAAAAATTGCATACAGGACCTACTGCGGGGACAGAATAAGTTATGTGGTGTTCACCAAGTGAGAAGGACAAGGACACTTTGATAAAAGACCCTGGTGTTCCGTCATTAGCCTTAAGTGGGAAGGAACTGTGGGATCCCGATTCAAAGCCACAATCCCTCTCGGCGGTTGCCCGCCTACACGGCGGGTGCAACTGGGCGCAAGCTAAGGGTTGCTTCAAAGCGCCATCTACCGATTTTATCCATCGAACAGGCGATCTTCCTGTAGGTACTACATTTGTTGAGAGACATGTCCGTTTTGTTTAGCAGGGGAACAGTGTCCATTCAAAATATTGTTTACCCCATATTTAATCTGTTCTGCAACGGTCTCTGGAACAGTGTCTGGAGATTTAGTATTTGCCGAATAATTTACATTCCGAAGCAAATATAACATATGCATTGCTTGTTGTCTGGGCACTCGCCAAGGTTAATAAACTCTACTATTTAAGCACGTGTGTTATAATTTTGAACAGCTGCATGAATCCTAAATTCCAACATTGATGAGTGTTGTATGGTTGCAGGCACAATCTTCGGTATGGCCAACACGCTGTCGTCGTTTGGCGGCTGGCTGTCCACCTACATGGTCGGTGAACTTACCAAAGAAAATGTGAGTATCTGTTTGAATATATTTCGACTTCGGAATTACAAATAAGTCATGTCTGTGCCTGCCGTTTTTTTTTCAAACGGACGGAATAGGACTCTGCTTTGGTGTAATAGCAGTGTTTTAGAACTGTTTACTACACCAAAAGACGCGTATTACTAGAATTGTTGGATTGTTCTTATCCCAACTCTATAAATTGGTTTGTAACTACATAACTAATCATTAATTACTAGATTGTATAAGACGTGGACGTGAAGGAAGGCGCTGGACGCAGACCGCTACCAACCGGCTAGCGTGGAAAGAATTGGGGGAGGCCTATGTTCAGCAGTGGACGTCCTATAGCTGAGATGATGATGATGATGATAAGACGTCCAGCCAGTCTAGGACGCGCATGGCGGCATTACACTTTTGTCCCCTTCTCTCGTGAGGTGTGATCTAAAACTCCTGTTTTTCTCCTCGAATTTACATTACGAAATGTATTAGCCTATCTTCTAAATTCGATGGAATGCCTTAATAACATTATATTAAGGCGTTATTCTAGCTCCCAATATTATCAATATTTTTCTCAGAGGCGGGCGTTGATCCGTGCGACACAGTTTTATACTTCTGCAGGGGTCATCGTTTTTTCCATTGTATCTGTACCCTTGTACTATACGAAATAAATTATTATTATTAAATTGATATTTCTCCCACAGAACACCCTCGAGCAATGGAAGATAGTTTTCTACATCCTCTCGGGTACCTACGTGCTTGGAGCGCTATGCTTCACGTGCCTGGGCTCCGGCGAGCTGCAGCCGTGGAACTCGCCGCAGAAGCCGATCTCCAGGGAAGACGAGCCTCTGAACGAGGAAAAGGCGTGAAGAGGAAACGGTAGGGGATGTAACACCATACAGATACGGAGGACCCATCGTTCGTTCGTTCGTTTCAGCCGAAAGACGTCCACTGCTGGACAAAGGCCTCCCCCAAGGATTTCCACAAAGACCGGTCCTGCGCCCTCGCATCCAGGCACCTCCCGCGACCTTCACCAGATCGTCTGTCCACCTAGTGGGAGGCCTGCCCACGCTACGTCTTCCGGCTCGTAGTCGCCACTCAAGAACTTTCCTGCCCCAGCGGCCATCAGCTCTTCGAGCTATGTGCTCCGCCCATTGCCACTTGATTTTAGCGATTATGCGGGCGCATACCATACGGAGGACCCATACTACGGATTACAAGTCACTCATAATACTTTTTACATAATGGATTTATTTATTTACATCTCGATATCTTTACAGGATGTTTTAACCAACGTTCAGTCTTTCACTATGGGATCTCTGAAATCACAAGAAAAAATCGACTGTATAATACAAAATTTATTTTTTGACCCCTATGTAAATAATATTCCTGTTATGTGTTACCATATGGGTCACTTTAAAATTAGGGATTGATGGAGAAAACGGGCATTAGTTACTTAGAGTCGGTCCCATATTGAAGTTGTTTATGTTCATGAGTAAAACATCCTGTAAAAATATTGAAACGGTAAAAAAACATTCAGCTTTTAATATTTATTAATTCATATCCTTTCAGTTCAGTTTCATGAATATCTATTGGACATAATGTTTTTTTTATACAAATTACGTATTACCGAGTTTAATGACATTATTGTGGTTTGAACCAATTTTTAATAAATATGAGTAATATAGAATGTTTCCTTACCTATCTGTAAATGGTGTTACAAACCCATCTGTTTAGATATCTCAAAGCCCGAAGAAACTACAGCTAATGTCTAAATGGATAAATAATAGTGTTTAAGTTTCCCCTGGATCGGTGAAAAAGACTGGGTGAAAGAGATTTGCCAGCCGTGTCATAATAAATAAGTAAATGAATATTTTTATTACTTTAATTAGGTTTACTTTGTAAACTAATACTTTTATAACGGTTGCTGTTCTACTACCTAAGAATACTTGATTAAAACTTATATTTTTTATTTATGAATTCTGCTACCACTGTTTATTTCAAAAATTTTAAAAATACCTATGGCAAGGCTGAGAAATCTCGAAACTACATATTGGTTTTGTAACAGTACTTATACGAGTATTGCTACAAAACTAAGGCAGTGTTGACTGGGGTTTTGTTAGTTAGCAACAATACCCCAGTTATATCTGTACCTAATGTTATTATTGCGACAAAAATACCAATTTTAATTTGTATTTCCTCTTCGGTGTATTTGTCACAGCAATAGCATAGAAAAAGTAAAAAAAAAAAAACAAAAAAAGGCTGTTAACGTATAAATTGTGATGTATTTATATAACGTGCCGGCTTGCGCAATGGACACTCGATAACGCGCCGATTTGTATAGCTCTACCCACGCGCGTAACGTCGAAATCTATGGCATAATTGTACCAAACCATTTGTGTCAAATTGCATACTTGTACGCGTTTTGTATACAATTTCCTTAACTAGTAAAACATGTAAAAGTATTTGTACAAAAAACATTTTGCTGAGTTACTAAGTTAAAAATTTACATTTGTAACTCCAAAACCATCGATTTCAGATGAATTATTACATAACTTCATTAAGAAAATCCATCAAGCGTGTGTAGCTACGCTATAGAAATCGGCACTTCGATTTGTAACGGTGATTCTGTGAAACCCGACTCATCGTTTTGAATATTAGAGTTAAGTTTCAAGAAATCGTATTGTGTAATGTTGTTGACCCTATACGCTTTGGGTTTTTGGCGCGTGGATATGTCGACAAGTTCAATAAAGTGCGTAAACACAATCTCAAACAGTATTGAAATAGGTATTTATAATTCGAATAGATACAATTGCATTCTCTCATAACATTCGATCACCGATCACACACTTTATTGAACCAGTATTTCGTATCCATGTGCTATGTTTTGTTGCAATGCGAGCTCGTTGTAATACGCTTTCAACCGACGATGTTAAATGATGCCTAAAGTCGGTGTAAGTATTTTTAATTAACTTTTGAGAAACTAGTTCGTGACAAAAGTCGATTAAAAATACTTGCCTATCATGCGCTTTACGCATAAATAAATGATTTATGTTAATGTAGTCGGTTTGTAGGACGCCGCGACTTGCTCGGAGCATGAACTGATAGGTAGTAGGTAGCGCGAATTAAAGGGACCAAACTAAGGGCAACAAACAACGCTTATTTATAGTAGGGAATATACTTCCCACTGCAACAGCAGAACCGTAGCAAACATATTTTTCTACTATAAAACTAGCGAACAACTACATAAGATTTCTTGTTTTATCTACAATTAAGTATTTTAACTAAGTATCAATTTATTTATTTTTCTACTATATCGAAAGTTTAGGAAAATTCTGAGCCATTCTAGTTTACCAGTGGACGGTCGGAACGTGTCCATAGACAAGTCTCGATTCTTTTACCGTAAGACATAGATATTAAGATTAAGCCATGTTCGCACCTAGCTTTATTACAAGGGACAATGCATTGTTATATTGTGCATTTCGACAGCTGTGATAAAGAGATTTGTCTATGGCCTGCACATATAGTGTTGTTAATGTTTAGAGCTCGCATATTTTAGATCCCTCGCGTTTTTGGAAAATGAATCTATACGGCTATTAGTAGTTCCTAAATTACGATCAGTATTTAGAAAGGTTTCGTTTCGCTCCGTTCCCCGGGCGGGCCTCTTCCAACGGTTGCAGGGTATACGTCCAATGAGTACATTATGCAAGCATAACTAAGCTCGCGCGTCTGTGGGAACGATTAATTCTTATAAATATTAGGTATTATTCATTATTTATATTAATATTTAATTAAGGAAACGTGTCAAGTATTTGTACTACTTTTCATGTAACTACTTTCGAAATTGTATTTTTATCGTATTAAAAACACTTTTGAGGTAGTTTCTTTAGTTAGGAAATGACACATCACTCAAATTACGGTCGTTAATGAACAAATAATTTGATTAATTTAATTTATATCTGACATATCCGAGTTATTTAATTTATTATAATGCCATGTTAATTTAAAAATATTTTAAGTATTTCATGTTTTACTTCGTCTCAGTACTAGTGCATAAAGTCGATAATCTTATTATATGTAATAATATTCTTGTGGAAAACTATGATAGTGTTTATCGCCAATGAGATCTTTTGTAATAGTTTACCGTGTTAATTGCATTATCATTAACTAATTTTATGTATTTGCATTATTTATAGGCAATAGTCAACGTCAGGTTTACTTCACGCAAGTAAATGCTGACAATTTTAATTACTACATTGTGTTACTTAATAAATGCGTAACATACTTTTTAATCAAAATACCCGTCGTACTGAAATACCCGTCGTACTGAGTTAATTACTTTTCATCACAAAGTAACGTAAGACACTCGACCTTTAGAATCTAACACCTCACTTCTCAAAATTATCATTAAAGGTTTTCGTATAGATAGAGGTAGGTACTTACCTACTGGAAAGTAAAGTAGAGAATGAAATAAGTATAATGTAATGAAATCGTTCTTGCTGACTGCCATCGCTGTTTTCGTTGCGCTATCGATACAGTTTAGATAATCAAATCATGGCCCATTAAATGATACCCATGTGTTTATCGATATAGTAGAACACCTCTAAAATATTGTCGACGAAATACCAACCTTATTATATCTGTTCTAGAGGTCGAGTTATTTTCATAGATATTTTATTTTCAAATTGCCGATGTTCATTCTCACTGCATGACGAATCCAGTCGATCGACTGACGCGTGTTCAGCCGATTGTGTTAATGTATTAGCAATATGTTATTGTATAATTATATTAATGCATGTGGACATTAGTTAACATTGTTAGTCGCCAATGACAATTCTGTACTTTTGTGAACCATTTATTTTTTTAAAATAAAGTTTTTATGAAAAATATTGATTCGTTTTCATTTGACATTTCCCATGTTTCCTTGTCTCTGGTTTTCACACTTCTTTGTTTAAATGAACTACACTGAACTGTCCCACAGGGTGGCGCCAACGTCGCCCCCATAGTTTTCAACGTGGCAAAAATCAGAACTAGTGATCCGGTATTGTCGGTGGCGCCCCCCTGTCAATGTTACGACGGGTGGGACAGTTCGTTGTAGTTCATCTATAGGGTACATCCCTTGAGGGTAAGAAAATAAAAAGTTCGTGTCTGTAACTTAAATAGTTTATTGAAGAAACATTACACGTTAGCACAGCCTAGCTGTCCCTACGAAGCGCCGCCCTACCGGTAACTTACAAGGCATGGTGATACAACACTCGGTGGCGCTGCTCGCTACTTGCGAAGTGCAACATACAACAACAGTCGTCACTTTAATATGGTAAATATAGTTAGTATGGTAAATGACTTATATGGCTTCAGTTACAGCTCGCACCATAGAAGCATTTGATTTTAGTTTCATGAAATATTTTGAAGAACACATCGCCCGTATTTACAAACATTATACTATGAGGTCTCACAGTGCGCGTGGACGCACAGGGTCACGCACGAACCAATCACAGAGCTCCATTCAACGCTGTGCGTTCGATTTGCTGCTTCACTTAAGCAAGCATCGTTTCTGAAATACGGGCGAATGCCAAATTTCTACTGAGGGCACCCTTTTCAGAAAATGTACATCTAAGCTAGTTTTTGGTTGCACTTCACAAGCAAGCAATCAATAACAAGGTTACTCGACTACAGTCGTCCTATCACAGGTTTACTATCAATACATAACACCAGTGGAACGTAAGCATAAATATTTTTCTAACGCCCAATTTGACATTAATTTCTCACTGATTTTCCGTCCATTGATTATTCTGTGCCACTATTTAAATTAATGTCAACTTGCGCATAATTACAAAACATGGAATAATAGTGAAACGTTGTCGCTTTGTTAAATATCACATGAATGAGTGCATTTAATACTAGTAAATTGTTTACAGGCAGTGTCACCTGAGAAACGTTTTATTGTTACTATGTCAGCTAAATAAATCTATGTGTCTACGCTACTACCTAAATGGTAGTATGGGTCATTTACAAATGTGTGTAGCAAAATAATGTGTTTGTCAAGTAACACCGCGCTAACTATTTGTGGCTACGCGTTGGGTCGGCGTCCCCGAAGACCATTTTAGAAAGACAGGTAAGGTTCAAGACTGCCAAGGAGTTAGGTACTTGGTGAAGTAAACCACGCAGCATTATTTATTTACATAGGAGCCAGATCACAGTACAGATAAACACTATATTATTATACACCACAATTAACAGATAGTTACCAAAACAATAAGTTGATCATTACTTGTTTTTCAAGCAACATAGTTTTTAAAACGGTATGTGGGTTCTTTAAACTGTACCACTTAGCATTTAGCGTACTTCCTATCACCTTGAGCTCTTGGCTTTATGATTTCAAACTGTCTAGTCAAAAATTGTGGCAATAATCCGGTGCCGCCGACACACCGCACGGCCAAGTTTCAGTCGCCGCCGCGCGACCACCCTAACTATAGCGTTTGTACTAAGCGTGGCTTCACTTCTCGGAACTCCCCAAACCATACAAGCTTACGTATGTAGTCAGATTATGAATTCGATAAATTATTATTAAAATAAAAATGGTAGGTCTTGGAAAATTTGAATTTTTGGACTATAGTGCGTGCTATGTGCAATCAAATTATTAGAAGCACGCATTACTCGCTAGATATTTCGATGGAGCTGTGTACCAGCAGCGGTCCTTTTCGCTGAGCGAATGTATTGCTATACAATTGTTAAAAAATTCATTGACCAGCAATGGGCATAGCAACGAGTCACGCTAATTCATATTTACCAAGACCGCAGAATAGTAGAATGTAGTTACAGACAAGTCACATTAAACGTAGAAATAAGACACATCCTTACTTTGCCGAGAATTAACTATTAAATATTCATAAAATTTTGAAAAGAGCCGCTCCCTATTTAAATACAATCATTAAAAGCACACTCTTATTTCTAAGTTTAATTTAGGGACATAAGATCATCGCTTGTAGCAATCCAAAACAACAGTAAGTCACAATCCTTTATAGTATTAGATACTCGCGCCCGATCGCACGTACTCTTGATCCCAACATTAAATTAAAACAAATTTACAACATCAATTAATTAATATTACACCAAAACAGGTAATTACATTTAAAATACACATATGCCGCACTAATAAACTCTGTATATTGATCAGTTACACAATTGATGTATAATAATTTCCACCATATTCTGAAATTTTTCAGATTGCTCAATTCATAATGAGAGGAAGCATTGTGTAACTTTATACAGCATTTATTCGTATGGAAAATAGACTAGAAATTGTTTGAACAATCATTTTAACACTAAAACAACGATTTGGTCAATTGACAACTAGAATTACACAACAATTTAAAACGAAAAATGAAATTTTCATATTTTTTTTAAATAGGAAAATTTGTAAGTTTTTAATTGACACAATTAACAAGATATTTCGATAAGTTTTAAAGTTAAGCTCAGACGTGACAAGCGATCATTGAGATAAAGATTTTTGATAACAATAAAAGGGATTGGAGTAATTTTTTATTTAAAAATATTTACAAATATTTGAATTTCTATTTACTGGAAAACAACAAGGGAACACTTGATCTAACGTCTTTTCAAAACTTTGTGATTCGTTGAAAATTGCATGTGCCAGCTTTGTGGGAAACGATACAAATATTTCATCAACAAATTAAGTGCACTGGAAATAATTCAAACATATCTTTTACTAAAATTATAATATTCAATTTGTTGGACATAAATATACAAAAACAATGAAAATCAAACTAATGATACATATTTAAATAAAACATCTTTTTACATTATCATATTGCTAACAACATGGAAGTACCTAATACTTGAATAAATAATCAACAATATAAGGTAGACTGGATTGGTCTGTGTTTTTTTATTTAGCGTTTAAAGTTTATAGACGAAGATGCTTAATTAGTCTCACAGGTGAGTGGTACCTATCGTATTCCCTCTCACCAGTTGGCGCCACTGGCGAGTGAGAGAACCTTATAGATCGTTTCATCCACGAAGACGCGCCCCACCAATTTTTGGTCGATGGAAGCGGGGTGCGGGGAGTTTGATCCGAGCAATCCGAGCGTCATTATTGTAATGTGCGTGTGCACTCATGGATGATTTAGCGTGTACCGATAACACTCAAACATTAGCGGAAGAATGGTGGGGCGCTTTCGTGGTTGAAATGATCTGCATACTAATAAGAAAAATTTTAAAAAGCTCTTTCCATACCAGTATAACCTTAACTACAGCTAAAAACTTTACTAAACGAAGCGCTCGCCGAGCCAGTTTTCTCGTACTACCCAAAGTAAGAACAAATTATGGCAAAAAAATGATCACTTTTGAAGGAGCGCAACTTTAAAATAAAATACCCTCAGAAATAAAAAATGTAAGCTTATTTAGTGGATTTAAAATTAAACTTGCTCAACATATTTCAGAAAGTACCTAAGCAGCTGGTTATAAAAAAATAAAATAATACGAATGCACTAAATGAGTACCTACCTTTGAATAAAATAAGCGTTTTGAACGATCTATTTGAATACTTATGTAAATGATGTTCTCATGTAAGTGACTATTGGTCTTTTTTGAGAATAAATTTCTTTAACCATAATGATCTATACTCTACAGTAGCGTAAACCGGGGAGGGAACACGATAGTCCTCATTGAGAGCGTTTTAAGTGTATATCTATCAGCCGTCTTCCAAAGTCCGATGTAATTTATTTATTGACGGGTTACTCCATGTACAATTCGTGATTTACTATTGAAAGACTTTTAACTGTAGAGCACCACTGACCGAACTGACCGCCCATGTCACTATTGTCACAAGGCTCTCTCTGCTTGCGGTTGAAAATGGACGAAAGAAAAAATATTTATTTGACAACTAATACAAAACAAAAAATGTAGAGAAAAGAGAGAAAAAAAGAGGTCACCCTACTCAGTATCATCTTGACAGTTGACATTTTACTGCCAAGTGCTAAGACACTGGTTTTCAGTGGGTACCTTGTACGCAGGGGCAAAAAGAATCTTTACAATTATTACATAAAAATAAAATGTAAAAATAATAAATTCAAATCAATTAAAATTATCAATAAAATAAAAATAAAATAACGAAAAAACAATAATAGTGCAATTAAAATGGACTTTCTTCCATTTTCCGACCGCATGCAAAGGAAGCCTCGCCGCACTGGACGTCGCAATTCCATTAGGAACTATGTGAACGTGCAAATAATGTATTTCGTGAGTAACAAGCATTTATTTATTAATTAACTGTAATATCTAGGTTTAAAACACTATCTATATGGCAACACTGCGATAAGTAGCCATTAAAAAAAATTGATTAGTAAATTGTTTCGTAACACAGTTTATACAAAACAGTAAATAAATATTATGTACAACGACAACAATAAAATAAAACGACTAATTGTTAAAAAAATGTTTAAACTGAAAATTAATTAAGAGAAAACAGTATCAAGATATTTTTCTAACAATAAGACATTTTTTCGTAATGGCTACACTTCACAGTGTTGCCCACTTATTAATTTATTTACCTTAAAATCTTATTGAGTCAAAGGCAATCTCTCGAAGCTATTATAAGTAGTAACTTCGCTAACTTACTAGTTCGCTTTGATAATTCACTATAATAATTATTATGTATTTACTTTATTATATTTATTATTACGGCGGGAATTGGAATTTGTATAAAATTCTTCTGTGATTATTAAGTTTAGTTAATAACAAAATAATATCGTTGTATAGTTAAATTTGAATTATTTATTAAATGTGTATATTAGAAGAAGTAATATGAAACGTTTTTACATTACGGAATAGTAAATAGGTAAATGTGGAATATAAATACTGCATGACTATTACATTTTTTGAGTTGATACTTTTTTCCGGCTTTTGGTTATTTTCACATAAAATAGTTATGCAGTATTTATGTAAGATTTGATATTCTTTTCAAAGCAAGTAAGCACAAGGCTAGCTTTCGATTAAATGTTTTGTTTGTGAATTGACATTCAACTGATAATTGACAAAAATAACATGAGGTAGTAATGTACAGATGAAATACGTCTTCGGGTATTGGATTAACAAACCACGGGACACGAAAACGGTCATTCTATTGATCAATTTTAGATACAGCAACACCAGAATTCTAATTTAGAACATTTTAAGAAACGAAGTTGCCTCAAGAACATCCCTCCGTTGCTGAACGTGAGACAGATAAAGTATAATAATAATTATTTGTTCCCTAATACTCAAAAAATTTGTAAAATCAGATGTCGAAGATGAAGAATTTCGTGTTTCGTGACCAGTGGTTAGGTCTTCCAAACTGCGGATAGATATCAAATTTTAATCAGTAAAATTTGACATGTACATGACACAGATTTTAAAATATCATTGCAATTTTAAATAATTACTTAAAATCAAAATACAACATTGAATAATAACAATTTCAGGACATAATTTAACTTGGTATTTCATAAATAAATAGTAAATATCTAATTTTTCATTTTGGTAAATTACCCACATTTTTATTTTGGATGATAAAGTTAAAACAACGTAACGGTACGCACAAAATATCATGTGTATGTGGTGCAAGCGATTCTCGCCGTACGGACCTGTGTGTGGGCGCTCATAGAGTCCAAATTTGCACATCGCGGCACACGCCTGCCCTATGGTATGCGCACCGATTGAAGCACTTTACTCGCCTGTAAAAAAAGTAAACAACATTTAGTAGCTGCAAAAAAAAAAAACATAAAATTCACAAAAAAAAAAGACTATTTTTTGGGAGTCAGTTCCTCCCCATAAACAACATAGTGTGTAGTAGAAAAATAATGAAGAAATTCAAAATTAAAGAAGGACGCTCTTGTCGTTTGACTCATTTCGATATTTCCACGTAAAACTTCCTTGTTAGAGCCGTGAAATAAGAGACCTCACCCTTATTATTTCTATGAGCAGGTTAAGTTTAGGTTTGTCTATAATTCATAAATCATGAAATTCGTGTGACGTAATATTTTATGGATGACCTCTTACTAGTTTTACAATAATTAGTACTAAATAATTGGCCGTTAAACATTTGCAAAGTAAACATTTGCATTTATTGCACAATATAAATATGTAAAGTAAACTGTACATATTTATATTGTGCAAGAAATGGCTATTTTAATCAGTTCCGTGAAAGTTCATGTGACATTGGCAAAGGTGGAAACACATCACCAATTCACTATACGACTGAAGAAGGAAAATGGCTGAGTTGATAGCTATAGTTTGAGTAGTACGGGAATAGTCCCACCTCTCGTTCCCACCACTGAAACACCTGTGAGGCCAGGATCTACAGCTTGACCGCCACAAAAACTCAACCAATGAAGGTCAAGTTTGTCCCGGGGGAAAGTTAAACTGTCATTGGACCCGCAACGAAATTAATCAGAAGAACATAGAAGGAGTTCGAAATTAAGGTTCAACTTCCCTCTATTGCAAAGCGGATGACAGGTGACAAACAAAGGTTTAAAACCTTTAAGAAAAGATTATGCACCACGGACAATAAATATCAATTAAGGGGCCTTATCTTATGAGCAATTAGCAACTACCTGCCAATAATATTTCTCACAAAATCGCTTAAAAGCACGGAAATTTTTCCTTGTCGCGACAAAATCGGTGTAATAAATTGCGGAAACAGATGTATGTTGTATTGAATTAAGCATTATATCACGTTCATGTTTGTTAGTTTGAGTAGTGGTGGTGACGTGCCTCATACTCATGGTCGGCCATGACTCCAGTGACGGCGAGCAGCTGGTACTGGCGCGCGCGCAGGGCTCCCGCGCCGCGCCGCAGCAGCCGCAGCGCCGCCGCGCCCGCCGCCGCGTTGCCGCACGTCACTTGACGCACCTGGGGCGTCACGAGATGTTACTACACGGCTCAATCCTCCATTTTCCAAAAACTACACTCAACATCAAATAAACCGCACCTTCCGCGACGCGAACTTTAAAGATTTTCTTCTGACACAATTATGGTACCCCAACAATATTGGTGTTCTATCCTTAAAGAAAAATACATTTCATTTCTAAATAAATGATTAACATATACCATAAATGTGACTTGAAAATAGACCTCACTTTGGGCTCACCTCTGGGATCAATTAGACCAATTTTTATGGTTATAAAACCAAATAAAGATCTCACGTGTCCTCTTTAACAGATGGATAGCGATTAATCCCAACTTAACAGTTTTATAGTCACAAAAAATGGCTATAGCGTAACTACCTATTTTTTGAAGAAGTGCCTCTGGATCCTTGTAAAGACACATTTTTGGGGTAAAAACCTTCCCTTTAATGAAATGAAGTTTAGAACTAGGCTTTCAAATGGTACCAATGTTGGTGGGAAGTGGGGATGCATACGTTTGATAAGTGCTTGTCGCGGGAGGTGCGATTTATTTGATGCCGAGTATATAACAAGGTCTTTAAAGCACGAGTGAAGTCTACAACGTGTTCCTTTTGATATCCCATAACTTTAAGCGTATATTCTATACATAAAAATAATTTAAAATTTCCAAGAAACATGTGTCCCAAAATGCATATTTTCGAAGACATCATCAATTTAATAATATTAGTTCTTAAATTGTCACCGCTATGACTATAGTCTGGTCCGTAAGCACTTATTGAAACGTCGCAATTATAAAGACTAAAGCCCGGTCCGTGAGCACGTAGAATTTTGTTCAATGACCCCAAGCTACCCATCCTTATCGCTCGCGCGTAATAATGATGTCGCGACTGTGCGACGGGCGGCCGCAGTAAGTGTGCGAGCGCGACAGCAACATAATTACGCGCGAGCGATAAGGATGGGTCTTTGCATGGGGTCATTGGACGAAATTCTACGTGCTCGGCGATCGGGTTTTACACGGTTCAAGATATTGCGTTCACGAAATCATACAACGCGTTTAGGGGGGAAGGGGGTAAAGCGATTTTCAATCAGTCTAACGTGAGGGAGTATACAGGGTGTTTCGTGTAAGGTGTCAAGCCGAAGGCAGGTGATAGGTGAGGACTAGACCCATCGATTTCACCCCCATGTATGTTCTACGATTTTTCGTAGTTTAGAAATTATCGTTAATTTAAGTAAATATTACCTGTGCAGGCGAATGTGAAGGGTCCAGAACTAAAAGTGTTGCTTTGCCGTCTTTATGTTTTTCATACCCTATTATCGTCCTAGAATGACCTGCAAACAAAACAGTAAGTTTCTGAGCCACATCTGACATTGCTCCATTTGCTCACACACGACATGAAACACACAGACGAGTATAGAAATGCTAATTTTTTTGTACCACTATTTGTTATGTGTGCAATAAAGATTTCAAATAAAATAAATAATTTAACATAGACCAAACTTAGATGTTTAACCGATTATAATGAGGGCTGTCGTTTTTATACTTAACAGTTGGCACCCCTAGCGATTGACAGGACCTTACTCTACAGTCGCGCTAACTGGTGAGCGCTAAAACGATAGCCCTCATTGCTTTTAATGAGGGTTTTCGCGATTGAAAAATCCGCCAGATGGCAATACGTAGACGCGAGGTTCAAATGCTGCATGATTGGTTATTTTTGACATGACATTGACCATGCAGCATTTGGACCTCCCGTCTACGTATTGCCATCTAGCGGATTTTTCAATCGTGAAAACCCTCATTGTTCAGATAAATACACATTCTTATGTTTCCAAAAACACGTATTTACTTGGACTAAACATGTACATATTTATTATTAGTGATGGTGTACCTTGGTGCTGCAAATAAAGCGGCGCCTTGAAGGCGCTAGGCTCTTCTTGGAAGTAACGAAGCACCCAGTCGAACAGTGCCGGGTGTGAGCCGTCCGCGCCCGTCGGCTTGTGGAAGTCGATCAGCTGGCATCTGACAATCACCATCATCATCATCATCAGTCAATATTATTCTTCACTGTAGGACGACGACCATATCTAATTTACTAGAGGCAAATGGAGGATTTGGCCTACACTTCTTACGCTGGCCAGACGGGTTGGGGAGGTCATCATCATTATCATCTCAAATCAATAAGATAAGATTGACTTATGCCCGTTTTCACCATTAATCCCTAATTTTTAGGTGGCCATAATGGTAACACACAACAGGAATTTTGTTTTCATAGGTGTCATGTCACTTAAAATTGTGGTGCTATTTAGTCTCCACTGAAGCGTAATGTTCCTTCGTTATATGTAGAGTTTGGGGAGAAACTATCATTATTCGGTCATTTTGTCGCACTATAGAAGCACGATACTCTCTGGTAAGATGGGTTGGAGGCATGTCCTCTAACCAAAGTGACTTTTGTGACAGATTGATGACATGACAGATTTCGGAATTAAAATTGTTTAATTCATCATCTTTGATTATAATTAGGTATAATCAAGGTACAATGACCTTGAAAACTTAAGAGTTTACCATTACCTTATCCTAAGCGATGAGAGCACCGTGACCACTTCGCACGCACCGATCCACTTGCGAGTGTTGTGTAACTTTGAGCCTAACTGTTCTGAACCCTGAAACAAAAATATATTTATGTATTTTATTCAGCAGAAGACGTGAACAACTAGAAGCAAGCAATTTAGTTATGCTTTGTGGACGTCACATGGCTAATGAAGCTCCGGCTAGTTTGTATCTGATCCATGTGTCATCCGGCTAGAGATATGAGTGTGGCAGACATAGGTGTCACCCGGCTAGTGTACTGTATCTGACATATGCGTCATCCGGTTCACGTTCCTATGGCCGACCTATGTGTCATCTGGCTAGCGTTATTTTTTATGTAACAGGAGGCAAACGAGCAAACGATATATTAGCGTGGCTGAATTTGAGCAGATGTCATCCAGACGGTTTGCTCTACCCAACCCGGGGTGTCAGTCGGCTAGTACCTGACCTGTGTATCACCCGGCTAGAGTGGCTATGACTGATCCAGATGTCATTCAGCTAGGTGTATTATGATCGACGATATCTATCGTTACTAGGGTGTCACCCGGCTAGTGTGCGGTATCCCAATAGATGTCACCCGGCTGGCGTTGCGAGTGTGTCACCCGGCTAGCGTGCGGTATCCATCCAGATGTCACCCGGCTGGCGTTGCGAGTGTGTCACCCGGCTAGCGTGCGGTGTCCCAATCAGATGTCACCTGGCTAGCGTTGCTCGTGTGTCACCCGACTAGCGTAGTGTATCCCATCCAGGTGTCACCCGGCTAGCGTTGCTAGGGTGTCACCCGACTAGCGTTGCTAGGGTGTCACCCGGCTAGTGTTGCTAGGGTGTCACCCGGCTAGCGTGCGGTATCCATCCAGGTGTCCCCCGGCTAGCGTGCGGTATCCACCCAGGTGTCACCCGGCCAGCGTGGCACCGACCTGCGTGTCGAAGCCGAGCTGCCAGGCCCTCTCGACGAGCAGCTGCAGGCGCGGGATGGAGGGCACGCAGTCACAGTCGCGCTCGCCCGCGCCGCCCAGCAGCGCCGCGTAGGGCGGGTGCTTGAGCAGCGAGGATAGCACCATCTGCATGTTCCTGGAACAATATAGGATCATAATAAAGTCAACTTATAAGCCTCATTTCACTTGCGAACTAAATATCAGTCGCAGATGTTCGCCGCAACTTACTGGACAAACAACTGGATTGACCATGGCCACACTCTCCGTAGGAAAGGAAAACCCCCCAAGGAAAACGCAAACGTGGTCGCCCCAAGCAAACTTGGCGGCGCACTGTAGCAGACGAGGCGAAGAAAATCGGCAAGACCTGGAGCAAGATCAAGCGCGAAGCTCAAGACCGAACGAGATGGAGGACTGTTGTGTCAAAGTCAAAGTCAAAATTTCTTTATTTGTTTAGACTAATAAATAGTTCTTACAAGTGTGGACGCCCTCTACTCCATCTAGGGGACATAGGACCTGAAGTCAAGTAAGTCATGTTCGCTACGTTCGTTCGTCTCGTGCTCTTTCGTCAGCCTATTTCATCTCGTGCTCTCTATCACTATCACGAATTCTCGATAGAGTTAATAACAACTTTAGAACTGAATTATGAGGTGTAGCCGACACCTCATTCCACTTGCGAAATGTACAATGCTCATGTTCGTTGACAGACGTTCGCCGCGTATCGCTCGCCCTAGGTCCGTGGTTCGATGTTGATGAATTTAATGCCAAGTGAAGTGAAGTGTAGTGAAGTGAAGTAAAGTAAAGTAAAGTGTAGTGAAGTGTAGTGAAGTATAGTGAAGTGAAGTGAATCGTAATTCTTACCGGTAGCCGCAGCCCCAGCCACGGTCGCCGTAGGTGCTGGCGTAGTGGTCGACAGCACTACACAGGTACGTCTTCACGATGCTCGGGTTCTGAGTATTGAGCTGTGCTATCCTCTCCAGGATGCCTGCAACAAGCACATTTAGGATTACAATCTGAATTAAGAGTAAGGTATCAAACGAGATGTCTTTAAGATATCAAAATGTTGTCCCTTCGTTAGTTCGGTGCCGCTGTACACGGCCCGCTTAAGGCTGTTGGTGGCTCGTGAGCCGTCCCCATCCCCATCCCTTATGATATGTCGCTTACCGTTCATCTTGGAGGAGCCCGCGACCCGTCCCAGTTTTGAGGATGTTAGTGGCTCAGCTTGTGAGCTGTCCCCATCCCCATTCTATACGACACTGCGTCGGTCTCCGTTCTTCTTGGAGGAGCGCGCGTCCCGTCTCAGCGTTGAGGAAGTTGGTGACTTGGGAGCCATCCCCATCCCCATCCGTTATGATATGTCGTTCACCGTTCGTCTTGGAGGAGCCGGTGTCCCGTCCCAGGGCGGAGGCCTTGCAAAGTCCGGTACACGGCCCGCTTGAGACTGTTGGTGGCTCGCCAGACATTCCCATCCCCTATCTATGATACTGTGTCGTTTACCGTTAGTCTTCGAAGAGCGAGCTAATGTCTCGGACGCTTGAGGCTGATGGTGGTTTGTGAGCCGTCTCCGTCCCCATCAAGGGATGACCCTTACCATGCTGTGTGGCTCACCGTTCGTCTTGGAGGAGCCGGTGTCTGGTCCCAGGGCGGTGGCCTTGCGGGGCCCGAATCTGCGCTCCTAGTAGCCGGCCACGGATAGCGCTCCGCTGTACACGGCCCGCTTGAGGCTGCTGGGGGCTCGTGAGCCGTCCCCATCCCCATCCCTTATGATATGTTGCTCACCGTTCGTCTTGGAGGAGCCGGTGTCCCGTCCCAGGGCGGAGGCCTTACGGAGCCCGACGCTGCGTTCATAGTAGCCAGCCACGGATAGGGCGCCGCTGTACACGGCCCGCTTAAGGCTGTTGGTGGCTCTGTTCGTGTAGCCTTCTTCGTCCTCTTCCATGCCGTATTGCGCCTGTAAGCATTTAAAGCTATATGAATCTGGCATATTAGAAAAATACCACCTATTCTCTACGCTACGATGTTCTACGAAGTGGCAACTGACTAAGAGATAAATATGCGAACATCAGGCCTCAGCCAATGTTGAGTAAAGGTCAAATCCTCTATTTGCCCCTGATAAATTAGAGAGGATTCGTTAAATTCAGACCACAGCCGGCGGAATGCCTGCATTGGTTTGAATTTAACGAATTTTAAGGTGACTTAGCATCAAATTTCAAGTTTAGTATTAATGAAATGCAGATGAAGATAGAAGAAGATATCCTATCGTGAAATGTGATCTTTTTAACAAACTTTTTTCAAGCTAAGAAAATAAAATAACAGTTTTTACCCTCAGGAGTTGAAACTCATGTTCCTCTCTGTTCTTCTGCGCTTCCCTCTCGGCGGCTGAGAGTGCTACCGCGCCTCCCTCCTCCCCCCTCTCAAAGTGCTCCTCTATGTGTTGGATCTGTGGACAAATTACTTGTAGCTAGGATTGTCAAATAGGATTATAAAATAGATAGAAGTTAATTGTGCACTAGCACAATAAGCTGGAATGGAACAAGTACTTAAGCTAGAACTATTCCTACATTCAAATCAAATCAAAAACATTCAATTTTAACCAATATTTTGGCACAAGAGGCATTCAAAGTCAAAGTAGTCTAACTTTTGATTAATTGCAGGCTGCCTGTCCACAGTCAATTAAATTTTTTTATGGTGTGAAACCTAGACTGACATTTACTGATTGGACTAATCATAAATACTACATATTTTCCTGAGATTACAATAATATTATGTTCTATGCTAGTTAAATTAGTCATGTGGCATTTTATACAAACAGTATGAAATAAGACTCGATGCAACTTTACACTGTTGTGATATCCAAGAGGTTACACTTTTATGGTATTATGGCAATATCAATAAGTTTAATATTACAGATGAATACCAGTTCATGCTGTGACAACGGCAGGGGCTGGCAGCACACCGGACAGTTGCTGACCGGACTCTCTTCCATCATCACTACGTCTTCACATGACGCATTGTCAACCTGGTCCTAGAATAAAAAGAATTATTGATATTGATTAGTTTACTTATGATAGTTGATTGTTATTATATTTGAAAAGATATAGAAATAAATAAATAATAAATAAATAAATAAATAAATCATTGGACAATTTCACACAGCGCCAGCTAGCCCCAAAGTAAGCAACTTAATGCTTGTGTTATGGGTGCTAGCTTAACGGATATACTACTTATATACTTTTTTTTTTAAATACATACATATTATACATAGTCACACCCAGACCCGTCACAGAAATTAAAATTCATCATTTCAATTTCTGCCCGGCCGAGAATCGAACCCGGGACCTCTCGGCATAGTAGTCCGTTCTGAACCACTACACCAAACGGCCGACAGAATAGATGCTACCTTGTCAATTATTTGGTTGTAAGTACTGACTTTGGCACAAACTTATGTGTCACATCGTAGTTGATATAGGTATGATTTTAAAACTAAAATGTATAATAGTTTTGATACACCTATCACTGACTGTACTAGCTTTTAGAAAGCTATTAAGCTTAGCCAAAGTTTGCCATACAATTATGTATTATGGAAAATTGTATTTTATGGGTATGTGACAAATCACAATGCCAACAACTCACTAGGTAAAGGGATAATTAAAATGCTATTAGTCAATCTAGAAATCAATATTGAGTCGAAATTTGAAAAAGTTTTATTACTGGCTGTAAATTACCTACCTACTTATGGTATATATTAAGGGGGTGGGATATTATTATGGCATGGGATATTATAATGAAAAGATATTATATTTAAGTATTATAAAGCAGTAAACGTTATTGAATTCATGACTAGGAGGTTTCTGAGAAGAGAAAGTTTTAGTTGAGTTTCATACGGTTCATTGATATTAATGTTAAAATCTAATGCTGAAGAAAATTATAAAGCACATATGTTTCATAGATTATCTACTACTAAAGTTAGGTAAGATTTTTAATGGAACAAAATTAATACATACCCCTTTCTGCGGACTCAATATGTCTCGATGCTCAACATTGACATGGACTTCTACCTCAGATCCGTTCACAAATTCTCTCTCACAGATCGGACACTGGAACGAAGACCCGTGGGGCCCCGGAGACATGGCCATAGCGCTCAAAGCCAGTGTGGGGTTATCCAGGGTCAAAGTGGGATTGTTCAGCCCCAGGGTAGGGTTATTTACCCCTAAAGTGGGGTTGTTCACGACCAGGGTAGGATTTTCCGCGTTAGCATTCGCGTTCCCCATCACAGAAGGAGACGTGAGGTCGAAATGAGCCCTGTTTATGTGCTCTTCCAATTTCCGTGGACATGTTGACGTGAAATCACAGAGAAGGCACTGGAATCAATAGCAGAAAGTTAGGAAATCACTTTGTGGTTTTAAAAACAACATAAAGCACCTTTTAATTTGTGTTTTTAGTGTTTATTTATTCACATTTCACAAATTTTGTGGGTTTGTTTTTGTTATGGTGGGTAAATGTCAGTCAAAGAACTTTTGACATTGACAGTCATAGTTTTTATTGTTTTTATTTTTCCAAGCTCTAGTCAAAAAATCATTAACAAACAGCTTTATCGACAATTTGTTTGATGAAGGTGTATGAAAAAAAAAAACTCATTATCTAGCTAGAGGTCGGAAAGGGTGGGATAGTCCTTTAAAGTATTTTCTACTCACCTGCACAGTAGGACTCGGCGTAGGAGCTGATTTCTTTGGAGTGTTGGGTTTCAATTTTAATGCCAATTGAGATCTTAGTGGAGATCCTTGTCCTGCACTGGCCATAGTCAACTGTAAATTAATTAAATCATTATCAATTTTAATAAAAATTACCAACGAATCCGCGGGGCTATTTATGTTTAAAAATGTTATCAGATAGGTATTTCTTACCTTATTTTTATTTGGTGAGCCTTCGTAATTGTTGCTTGAATTGTGGCTTGGACTAGAATGAATACCTGGAAATAATTTTAAGTTTAAGTAAAGTAACTGCTTAAAGTACAAATTCGCAATGCAAATGTTCCAAGAAGCCCTAAAGTCACCTTTTCTGTCATGCCCATTCATCACTTCCCCATCATTAGAATTCTGTCTGCTCTGCACTTTCTTTGGTATAACCCCGTTGCTGATATTTATATTCTTCAGGCCATTCGTCAAGTTGATGTTTTTGGGGGACCTTGAGCATCTGTCTTCATCCTTCTCACTCCTATAATCTTTGTCCTGGTAACCGTTGTGGTAACTGAGGTTTTTGGATATGGCTCCGTTGTGGAAGGAAGTAGAGGTGTCAGGGCTATGCCAACCGTTAATGGAACCAGGCGTGTTGTAGCTGCAACTGTCTGTCGTTGTCATTTTGGAGTCTTCGTCAAAGCTGAAAAGGCAAAAGTAGAAGTCAAATGTAGGGCACCTTTTTATTATTTTACAGCAGGCTCTTTTTTGCTATGAAAATGTGGTGGCAAGTATTTGATTTACATGCTCATTAAGGAAGTAGGTCCCTTCCACTCCCTATATTACAGCCATTATAAAGAATGGGCGACATCACGAATGCATAAATAATTTGTAGCGCATACAAGCACTATAGGTGCCAAAGGGGTTAAGTAATAATAACTGGAGATTGAGTGACGCCAGAATATGGTAACTCAGAGGTGATACCTAATGCCCCTTTTCAGATTTTTCAGATTCCTACGGCGTAAATTATTGGTTATCTTCTCCAGCAGTTGCATTGGGGTATTAAACAGTTGCAATATACTTAGGTATTTTCGCTCTCTGAATGTGTCCCAACAGTTGTGGTTGTGGGACAGCACAGTCGCAGAAGAGACACTACTTACGTACTTGAGGGTTACCTACTTCTTAAACTTTGCTTCTTACCTCGGACTTTGGTCGTCTATAAACGCCATGAGTTCCCTCTCCGGCGTCAGGTAATACAGATACGCTCTTTGCACGTGTCCCAACAGTTGTGGTTGTGGGACAGCGTAGTCGCAGAAGACAAACTACTTAGGTAACTAATAAGTGATAGATTTGGCATTAGATTGCACGTATCCATGCTTTGAAGTGTTTTTTTCAGGGTTCACTACATACCTCGGACTTTGAACGTCTATAAACGCCATGAGCACCCTCGTTAGATAATGCAGAATGTGCTCTCTGCACATAATCCCAACAGCTGCGGCTATGGGACAGCGCAGTCTCAGAAGGGACACTAAGTACTTATCTAGCTTAAGGTTTGCTTCTTACCTCGGACTTTGGTCGTCTATAAACGCCATGAGCTCTCTCTCTGGCGTCAGGTAATGCAGATGCGCCCTCTGCACGTGTCCCAACAGTTGTGGTTGTGGGACAGCGTAGTCGCAGAAGACAAACTACTTAGGTAACTAATAAGTGATGGATTTGGCATTAGATTGCACGTATCCATGCTTTGAAATATTTTTTTCAGGGTTCACTACATACCTCGGACTTTGAACGTCTATAAACGCCATGAGCACCCTCGTTAGATAATGCAGAGCCCCGATTACGGTAATTTTTAACGTCTACAGTTCAGACACGCTTCTCGATTCTGCGATACGATTGGTCGTTCAACAGCGTACGTCAGCTGTTTTGACCAATCGTATCGCAGAATCGATGAAGCGTGTCTGAATTGTAGACGTTAAAAGTTACCGTAATCGGGGCTCAGAATGTGCTCTCTGCACATAATCCCAACAGCTGCGGCTATGGGACAGCGCAGTCTCAGAAGGGACACTAAGTACTTATCTAGCTTAAGGTTTGCTTCTTACCTCGGACTTTGGTCGTCTATAAACGCCATAAGCTCTCTTTCCGGCGTCAGGTAATGCAGATGCGCCCTCTGCACGTGTCCCAGTAGCTGTGGTTGTGGGACAGCACAGTCGCAGAAGGGACACTCTGGTCTTCCTGCCACGTGGGCCTCCAAGGTGTGGGACCGCATGCCCTCGTCTGTGAGGCCCTCCGCGCCGCATAGCTCGCACGTGTAGGGGAAAGGACTGGTCGACATTTTTGCTAAAAAGATAAACTATTGAGAAAAGGGTCGAAAGAAAATGTAGGTGTTAAGTGGAAGTAAGCAATTTATCATGCATCAAACAGATTAAGTACAAGTGTTGTTACCAATACCTTAGCCTATTCAATGCAATCTAAGGGAGACCCTGCAAATATAGACCCTGTTGGGCATAACAACGTGGTAGGTATGGTTAGAGAGGTTATTGGCCTGTACTAATTTATCTAATAACTCCTCAGTTTTTCCATAATCTTTTCATGTTTCCCAGAATATGTACAATGAGTAGCTACCTCATGAAAATTTAGATTTTCTGTGAGTTGTGAGTGAGAAGTGCGTTTTCAAACTTTACTTATTTGGAATCAACATTAAATTAAGATCAAAGAAGAGTGATTTCAAGAAACTTTTCTTTAATTAGTGATAAGAATCAATAATTAATCTATTTGGGCCAAATAAATTATTTTGTTCGTTCTGTTTTTACTACCAAGTGGAGTAACGTCGCCTTCTGACAACATCAAGCAGGATAAGCACTTCAATAAATTGTCCATTTGGCGGCTCGCCAACGGGAATTGAAAGACAACATAATTATTTAAGAATTATCCATAAAAAAAGCTGTAGGAGACTCCTCTGTGGTACAATCACAGTAAAATGGACAACAGAGAAGAAAAGTATAAACCTTATTATAATAACAGTAATTCCTATAGCAACTTATTCTAGGTCAAAAATAATCGCAGCAGTTAATCTAATCTACAAGGACGAAGTGTTAATAACTTATGAAACATTTCCACAACACAAAAATATAAACATAGGCAATTACAATTATTGTAGGTTGTGTTTTCACATCAGCTGTAATTTTTTCATGGCTCTTTACAGAATTTTACACTAAACTGCGATCAAATGAAACGAACCTTGATCTATTTTCATCGTAGGGCAAGCACTGCTACATTGAAACCATTCACAAATGAGTATCCGGGTGAAAGTGTCAAATCGATAAAATTACCGCAGTTATGTTTTCAAAGAATTTACGCTATGATTCTCTACCGAAGCAAATCCTTTTTGGACCAAAATTAAAACTATATTAACCTTAGCGTTAAAACTAACTGGCATAAAACAATAAATCCTCTTGCGTAACGAAGTAAATCGAAGAAAAAAATAAGATGTACTTACGATTGTTTTTATTGTCAAATTAGCGGGAAATCCTATCGTTTTGTAAGACACAACACTACCTAATTGGTTCCACACGATTATTAAAGGTTGTTAAAGCTAACATTTTATAACATTAATTAACGAAGTAAATTTAATACTACTGGCAAAGGTTATGAAGGGGAGCCATTCATGAATCGTGGACATTGAAAAACAAGGAAAACTTGTACGCATGCGGAAGTGGGCAGCGACGGCAGCGCCTCTGGCGGTGGAAAACGAAAGGTACATGCTTTTGTTTAGAATTTTCTTTCTTTCAGCCTAACATATTTTGCCTAAAATGGTTAAATAGCTTCTATAGTTAATTGCACTTGGTAAATTTACAAAGCTAAAAGCTTTTGCTGGAATTTAATTAGCTAATTTCAATATATCAAATGCGCACGCCACCTAGTGACTGTACATAGTTGTACTAACTATCTTCAAGGACGACGGGGTAGCTACCGAACCCTTTTTGGAACTTCCAAGTGAATTCCACTACCAGTAAAAAGATGGAGTTAGATCAGAACAATAGTTTAATGTTCTTAGAAAAATTTAAAAGTCACGAAACTTAAAACTTGTCGTACGGAGTATGTGAAAATTTTGAAAATAAGGTGTACATTTGAAATGCTCATAAATAATAGACATAGTGATGTAAGATTTACTTTCAGAGGGTGAATTTGGCATCAATATCATTAACATCAACCTAAGTCTTGTGATGAAGACATAAGTGCCAAAATAGTTTTAATTTTCATTCAAAATTGTTTGTTTCGAATATAATACATATATGCTATTTTTCTTCACTTCAAGATTATCTCCACCAGAATAACCCACTAAGCTCCTAATTTCGTCAAAAAAACCAGGCATCCAATACATTCTCATGTCTAAATTGTAACTTATAGAAACGGCGGTGCCCCAGGGAACTATTGCATATTTGTCCTGGAATAGCAACGACTGGCCGGGCCCGCGCGAATACAGAGTGGCTGCTTATGTAAATTGACACATGTCACTCAAATATAGGTAGGTTTACTTTTGCCGAAAGTGTAGTCACGCTATGTCACATTATTTTGTGTTGTCTAGTAAAATTCAAGTCTTTTTTTGAACTTTCAAGGCACTTAAACATATCCCAAATAATTGCTGCTTGGCACGGGACCGCGGCGTTGTAGCAATGTATGGGGCTTTTCTCCAGCAGTGCACGTCCATTGTTATACTAAAACTCTAACTGATTTCTGTTTTAGGGCTGATTTTTCAATCGTCGGATAACTTTTATCTGAAGAATAAACTTGTCATTTTGACATATTTTCCATACTGAAGCTGTCAATGTACCAAACTTATTCTTCAGTTAAAAGTTATCCAACGATTGAAAAATCGGCCCTTAGTTAATATTTTTTTAAACTGAGATTAAAATTTGCCACGCAAACTGGCTAATCAGTTTCCGTGGCAAATCTTAGTTTTTTCTTCATCAAACATTTTCGTGGAAATACATAATAAACTAAGTACGTAGGTATATTAAGAGGCATGGGGTAAATAATATATCTAATAACCAAATTATCTAAATATTTGCGAACTGCATAATTATTTCACTTATTTCTGGCCTTTTTTGAACGGTTTTATTTAGCTTGTTTATTTACCAGTTTTTAGTATTGAGCTTTGTGATAATAATGTAAAAAGTCTTTCTTCGCGTAAACTTAAGGAAAGATTTTTCAAAAGTTGCTTCAGACTTTTATTTCCTTGTCGGTTAAAACTGATAAATCTTTGTAGCAATTTTTACCTATAAATTGACTCGCCTCATCTAGATGGTAATTCGCGCGGTCGCACGCTATCGCTCGAAATTGCGGGAATGTGCCTACCATTATTAATTTTCACAAATTCCTTGATAACCCTAGTGGTATAGTCGGCCCGGCAAGTTATGGTATGTAGTAACGTCACGTAATGCTGTTGGAATATATTAGACGACACGAAGGTATTATAGGTTGGAGTGGAGACGCAAGATTGTGCTCTGGCTCGCAGAAACCTTATTGCACAAAGGGTGCATCTGCAAATACCGAATGCATTTCTTATTTGTCTGCTAGCCTACTTAATTAAGATATTAAAAAAGATTATTTGCTTTCTTAATTTTTGCCTCCTGTCTCATAAAAAATATTTTTTTCAAGCGCTAGTATTTGACTTGAAGAACAAACAGACGCAGAACATTATGGTTAAAGAAATTTATTCTCAAAAAAGACAATAACAGTCACTTACATGGGAACATCATTTACATAAGTATTAAAATGATCGTTCAAAACGTTTATTTTATTCATAGGTACTTACTAGAAACATTAGAAATTGTACATCAAGAAAAACGCTGAGAAAAATGGCTAAGTATTTTGTGACTGAGGCGTCTTGCACACATCTGTGGTCTTGCATAGTGAAAATACTTACCTAGGTGCTGTGTTAGTTATTCTGTAACTAAAATGCATACTATGATGTGCTGTCGACTGTACCTAAGCAAGGAATATTGTAATTCTTACGATAACTCACCGCTCCGACTATACCCGCTTTGTATGGGTTCAGGTAGTGTTATTAATTTTCGCAAATTCTCGTGTAACAGCAGTACCTGCTAAGGCAATAAATTATTAATATACTCGCTAGCTCGGAATATTACGAGTATAGTCCATGGAGGTTTAAACAGGCTTTAATTGACATCGTATTTTACTAACATTTTAACCTGAAGATTAAGGCTGGGTTGCACCATCTTACTTTAACTGTGACAAACTTCAAAAATCTGTTAAACTCCATAAAAAACACCGGTTATCGTTAAAGTTACGGTCAAAGTTAGGTGGTGCAACTCAGCCTTATTCAGAGGCATAAAGTTATAAAAACAAAATACTTAAATAAATACTAATTAAGCAACGCATTACATCAACTATCATCAGGTAGAACTATAAGACTGTAATTACAGAAATGTGTATCGTTAAATATTGCTACGAAAGTCATTGAAGTGCGCTACGAATTTCAAATTAAAAAAAAAAGATTTTCATAAATGCTGAAATATTTTTTCTTACTACAATTTCATAAACCAATCATTAGTTCAATGACCATGGTATGGTAATCCAATACAGCTAAGACAAAATTTTAAAGAAGCAAAAAATACACACAAAGTTAGTATAGGTAAGTAGATATCTACCTAGTTAAATACCTTGACTGTTTCACAATGTGGGTACTGGAAGTCGGAATCTTGCTTTTACCGACGTCACATTTGTAGCAAAACTGTTTTGCACGATCGATACAGACAGGGGTTTAGTCACAGAAACCAACTATAAGTTTCTTGGATGCTCACACTTGATGCTTTCGACTTTCGCTAACGTTTGTGGAAACGCCAGACTTTTTTAATAAAACGGGAGTATTCCCACCTCTCGTTCCCACCACTGCAACTCCTGTGTAGCCAGGATCTACAGCTTGACCGCCACAAAAACCCAACCAATGAAGGTCAAGTTTGTTCCGGGGGAAGGTTAAACTGTCATTGGACCCGCAACGAAATTAATCAGAAGAACATAGGATGATTTCGAAATCAATACCAAAAATCAGACTTTTTTAATAACAAAAATCCCAATTATTTTCGCATTCTGGGCCTTCCAGTTGTTTCCTTCTCCTCTCTTTGATCTAAGCTGAGTTACCAAATATTTGCCGTCCAAATTCGATTTAAGTAATACCATGATAATTTCTCTAAAGGTAAAAAAATTAAAAGTCGCTAGCTTTTTTCTCTATATTGAAATTATTGTTCTTATAGCCTAGTAGGTATCTGTTTTTCCTCTGAACTTTTCTATATCAAAGGAAAAATGACAAGAATTATCGCTAAACAAAATTGCCTAGCATAAAAATTACCAAGGATAAAATAAAAATCACATAGCTTAGCGTAACTATCTACCTTTAAAATGATAGAATAGAAATGTTTGCACGAAGTCGCTAGAACCGCTCTAGGGTTCTTTTAAACAATGTCGCGTAAGTAGGTGGGAAGTGGCAACTTGACGACTCAGAGTTCTTCGGCTGGAACTTATTGCATGTCTAAAAGTGTACATATTTACCTATGTAAGTGATATAAGCCGAGACTAGTACAGACGTCATACCAAGTTTAACACTACCTACAATCTTATGTAGTGGAAATAGAGGTTGTTTTGCCACAGAAATATGCTGAATATGCTGAAGAGCTGGTATGTGTACGTTGGAGTAAAGTTAGAGAAACTAAAGTCAAGGAAAGGGTTGGGAATTTATACCGCTTTAAACTTACTGCAAGTCTTGATTTGTGCGGGTAGGCACTTATTTATTTTTAAAATCTTATGTTTTACCGACGCGGTCTACAAAATATTGTCAGTCTGACAGAGGAATTTTAGCTTGGTGTGTCTTTACATCCATAATTTCGTTTGTTTTCGATTTTATGAAACGTAAATTACAACTTCAAGGAACAAAGGTCCTTTGTTGGATTCATCATCATCATCATCATCATTTCAGCCATAGGACGTCCACTGCTGAACATAGGCCTCCCCCAATGCTTTCCATGTTGATCGATTGGCAGCAGATTTGTTGGATTAAGTAAGAAAAAATATTGGCTTAAACAACGTTAGAGATAGTATCTCCTATATAAATAAGCCCAATTTTATTAATATTGTTGAATTAAGTCCAGAAATTCCTGTAAAAATGAAGAACATTACCTTCTACGGGTTTATAGAACGCTACGAAACGGATGACCAATTTCGCTCATGTTATGCAAGCACTGCTGGTGTAGTGGTATCATGCAAGATTCCCATTCTTGCGACCCGGGTTCGATTCCCGGGCAGTGCACTTTCTTTTGCATCTATTGTTTTACTTTTTATACTTGGTTTATTGTTAATTCATTGTATTTTGTATTTATTGTGGGTAGTCAATCAAATCAAGTTTATTTTCATACCAACTTACCAAGTCTCGTAGCAGCGTTGAAAATAAGAATTCTGTATTTTATATACCATACTATGTACCACATGGTTTCCAGGATTTATAAATCATAATGATTGTCAAAATAAAACAATCAAGTTTCTTTTTTTTTTTAAGAAAAAATAGCTTTTTTCATGTTTAAAATCTTTTATCGTTCAATACCTATTTACCGTCTTTTATAACAGCGCTTAAAAATACCTAAGGGCGAAGGTACCTTCTCGTTTCAACAGCGAAACTTACTTTTCTCAACTCAGAACTCATTTTTATCC